GGATTTAATGGATGGCTGTACACTGTGTCAGGAAGGAATTTTGTCCTATGTCGGATAGACAGTTTTTCACCTTCCTCTCTAAAGTGTGGGTGCAGGTCAGTTAGCAGGATTATGTGGGCTCATCTCCTTTAATCCTTTCCCTGCCATTGGAGGGTCTTCAAGCACTGGTGCACCTCAGTCCCTACTGTTCTGTTTGTGGCCCATAGTTGTCTAGTTTCATATTGGCTATAATATTTGGGTTTGATGTCAGTTACAGGGTTTCATGTGCAGGGGCTTGGTTGTATTGGTCACCTGTGATGTATAGAAAGTCAGACTGGATGATCTGGTCCTTTCTGGCCTTGAACTCTGACCGTGAGATTAGAAAAAATGGGCTGCTTGAGACTTTATCTTGCTCTTTTCCATTTTAATTCCAACATAATTTTAGCCGACTTCAGGTTAGAAATATGAAATAGAATTCTAGACATCTAGCTAATATGATGCTAGTTACTGAAGAATTAAAAATATACTTCAATGCTCACTTCATGTTTTCATCTGGCTCTTCAAAATCCCTTTTTAAAAATAAAAAGTCTGGAAACAACAATGGTTGTTTGAACGCTTACTTATATGGTTCAGCATAAATCCTACATCGGCTTATTGAATGTGAAATCCATTTTTCTCTTAATTGCCAAGACCAGAGCTCAGTCTTGTATTTTCCCAACAAGAGGTTCCCAACAGCTGGTTTAGACTGTTTTTTATCATGAAGAGTCAATTAATGCAAATCAAAGAACTTTGTGCTTTATTCAGTTAAAGTTTGAAGATCATTGCTTTCAGTGTTCTCAGAAATTCTGCATAATGTAGTCTTTGCTTATACCAGACAGTTTTAGAGGACTTTTAGAGGGGTCAGTGCTATGAGCACCTCAGGAATGAAGTGTTGTTTGAACGCGTAACTGAATGTTATGGTTGTTTTTATAAATGTTTTGACTTAATATGTCTTTGAAAGTTTACTATGCAGAAGAAAAAATTCTGCTTCTCTCTCTCTTTTTTCTTTTTCTTTTAGTTTACTATGCAGAAGAAAAAATTCTGCTTCTCTCTCTCTTTCCCCCCCACCCCAGCTCATGATTAACACAGTACTGCATTTGCTTTTTTGTGGGGTTGGGGGTCTTGAATGCATACTTCAAGTTCCAAATGAGGTGTGTGGTTCACCGATCAGTTCATAACTCTGGTGTTTGTAATTCTGAGAGGCTACTGTAATCAGTTCTTTGGTGATTTAAGGAGTAAGGTTATTTTAAATCTAAACTCTAGACATCTGAAAGTCTGAAGAATTACTCAAATGAAAAGGCAATATTTAATGGCCCAGCATAATACTCACTCAGGCTGTTCCTGGCACTTTTGAACTCGGCCAAGAGAGAGGTTTAAATTAAATGTATGGTTCCAGTTCTGGATCCCTGTAGAGGGAGATCTCTGCAGTCCAGTAGCAGCTGTAAGTAACACATGGCTTTTGACTGTTCCAAGTACTTCAGAGGAGATGCATGCTTGAATGCTAACTTTGAGGAAGATGTTTCTTGTATTTGCGCTGTTGAACAGTTCCCAAAGCTATATGTCACTCATTATAGTTAGAGTAAATCTACTATGGTTTTTTTTAGCAAGAAGATTTTCTTTGAGTCATTGGCCTTATGTGGGTGCAAACGTGTGCCATGCGCCAGAGTTGAGAAGTGTTTCTTAGCAGTGTCTGTTGATCCTCCCATGCTTATTGTGTCTCCTCACTCCTGAGTGATGGTATAAGAGGTACTATTCCATTTTCTATTGATCTCTCCATGGATGGAGTCAGAGCACCCAGTTTCTTCACATTCTTAGTTTTCTAACCAAATGGTTCCTTTCTGCTTTGTGATAATAGCTGTGACTAGTTTGTATAGATAAGTTTAATATGGTTAGTGTAGTTCTTCTTTCCCCTGGTCAGGGACAGTGCGCTCTCCTCTGCACCCTGGTGCTGTGCCCCAATGTCCTGGCTTCAAAAACTGTTTCCAGCCTGTGTTCTGTCTTTGTGAGCAATAAGCACTAGTGGTGCCTATATTGCTTTGATGAGGCACACATCCTCACTCACTGTGCCATTTGCAACCCCTTTCCACCCCAGATCTGGCACACTTGTGAAGGCTGCCTTTGTAAATTTCTGATGGCAGAAGGAATGAGATCCAGGGTATATTTGGATCTGGGCCCTGGAGACTCCCATCTACAGCAGCCATTTCCAGCCATGAATGCCCCTTTGAGTGCTTCGCAAGCTCTGGAAACAGCCATACTGAAAACCAAGGAGAAGTTCCAGTATCAGAGCACAAAATACTCTCATGAGCACTAGAGCAGATATTTGCTGTGGTGCTCTTATGCACAGCATTTCCTCCCTGAGATGAACCAAGTTGGGTGAGAGATTCATTGTTGATCTGATTGGATTGTTACCAAGATTCTGTATGTGGAGGGTAAGGCCATGTGCCAACAGAATCCGATGATGCCTTTGGCACCAAAGCATTTGGAACAAGCAACAGCATGTGCACAGCCTCTTCCTCCAGTACCTGTATGCCTGCAGACACCACAAAGCCCCTCCAACATCTCCACAGGTACACTATGGATCCTTGGATGCTTGGAGGCATTTTTCTTGGCAGAAGAGTTGATCCTCCACAACCTACATTCTCCCCTTTTATTGGGTCCCTTCCTTACCTTTGAAATCCTGATCCTAGAGGAGAAATCTTTTCTCTTGTTGCCAAAGAATATTGTCCGTTTGTCACACTGGAGCCGTGGGTACTGACCGTCTCCCACCTTGCTAAAACAGTCCTCAGAGTCCAAGGAGTTCTTGGAACAGGAACTCTCTGTTTTCCAGATACTTGCTAAAACAGTCCTCAGAGTCCAAGGAGTTCTTTGAACAGGAACTCTGTTTTCCAGATGTCACGCTATACTTTGACAAATAACCCAACAACAGAGGCCTATATCCCTTCTGTGAGGCCAACAACATCTGAGGAGCTCTTCCTTTAGACCATGATGAAAACTTTGGGATCCTTATCACAGGTTCAGGCAGGCCCGCCTACACGGGAGGGACAAAGGGGCAGTTGCACTGGGACTTGCAAATCAAAGGGGGCTGGGGCTTCCAGCCACTGCTGCTGCCACTTTATTATGATGGTGGCTGAAGCACGGGGCCCTTTAAATGGCTGCAGGAGCAGCGCACAGCACACTGAGTGTGGCTCTAAGGACTGCAGGGAGTGTGGCATGGATGCCCTTCCTTCTGCCCACAACCCTGCCCCTTCTGGGAGTGCAGAACCAGCCCTTCCCTCTTCCCCCTCTCCCGCATCTGGCCCAGGGGCCCTCACAAACTGTCGGCTCCCCTGGGCTCATGTGTCCCCCTCACACTCGCAGCTGCTATCGGTGTATGGTGAGGAAGGAGATATTTGGTGCTTACTGCAACAGACTCCTCATTAGATGAGCTAATCATCCCCCTCCTATTCTGTCTACCACATTGTCAGTGACCATCCTAGGCCTTGACAAAGAGAGTAGTGGCAGATGTGCAAATTTCTGTTTGAAGAGGTTCTGGGCTGACAGCATCAACTCATGAACATCCTTCAACCCTAGAGGCCTTCTAGGGTATCCCTATCTATCAATCAAGCCATCCTTCAGTTGGTACAAGTAGTGTGTCATAGCTGTAGCTCTTGCCCTCCACATAAGAAGGAGATGAAATACTTTGTGCTTGCTAAACAGACACATTTTCTTTTCATCCACCTCTACCTTCCTCACCCAGTTTTTTTCAAGCAACCATGGAATAGGCATGGCAGCAACCCACAACAGTCTGCTCCTCCAGACAAGGCTGGCCCTGCTGTGTAGGAAGGTCTGTCCTTCTGCTGGAATACAAATCTGGATTCCCATTTACCAGGGTCTGCAAACTAACTGATTTTAGCAACAGTAGATGAGTACAGTTCAATCCGTGCTTGAGGCTCTTATTTTAAAAGCTCTTTACAGTGACAGATTAGCAGAGGTGAGGAAAATACAGCCTCTCATTTGGGTAGTAATGTGAATTCACTTACCTGCTCTTGTTCTGGGTCTCAGCATCAATTGCTGGGGCACCCTCCTGGCATAAGGAGGAAGGTGAAGAACTTTTAAAACTTGGAGCAGAAGTTAGCTGTCTGCACAAAGAATGAGCTTCTACCATTTGGTTTAGCCTCCATCTTGGCAATATGTTGTAAAAATGGCTGAGGTTCCTGAGGTGTTCCAGGAAAATGTATTTGGACTTGATATTATTCTCTTCACAGTGTAGAATCTTTCTCAAAACCACCCACAAGCTGAGGAACTGGGTTGTCACATGTGTAATAGTTCTCTTAAGAACAGTGCTGTGACTAGGGATGTAAAATCCCATTTTATTTGGTTAAGTGGTATAAGATGATGTTGAACCTGTTAAGTGATTAAAGGGGGTAGTCAGGCTGGAATGCAGGGACTGCTCCTGCCTGTGATGTGCCCCGGCTTGCTGTTGACAGAGGCTGCTCCCAATGGCCAGAATAGCCCCTGTCTGGAGCAGGTCCCACAGGGGTGGAGCAGCCCCCTGCTCATGGGGGATGAGGAGCTGCTCCAGCCCACACTGGTTAATGGGTGATGCTTGCCTGTTTTGGTTAAGGATGATGCTTACCTGTTAACCTTTCACATCCCTAGCTATGACAACACTTACCATAGGGCTACATATAGATGTATGGTAGAACTACACCTGAAACGTACAATTGCTACTAGTGCAGTTCCTGTAATTAACAATATTGCAGTTTGCTGTTATAGGCTGGTCCTAAGGAATAGATCAGTCTGTACAGAATAATTTTAGACATCCTTAGTTAAAGTAGTGCCATTGTATATTGCACAGAGTTTCCTCTAAACTGCCTTAAAATCTTTTTTTTAAGTTTAGTGCTGTTTCTAGATTGTTGACTCCTCTTAATTGCATATATAAAATTATTGCTTTGTTTTATGTACAACTTGTCATATCTTAAAAACTATGTATTTTTCCATAGCTTGGTGTTTGGGATGCTGTATCCTGCTTATTATTCTTACAAAGCTGTGAAGACAAAAAATGTGAAGGAATATGTAAGTCCCACTTCTTACTTATTTATCCAATGAAACATTAATGCTTCCTTCAGTTGACACTTAGAGAGAATGAATTTCACTAAGTTATGCAGTGAAACATACAGTCATATGAAAGTGACATGACTTTAGTGTATCTTCATAAATATTAGGTACAAAAATTATGGCTGTACCATCATTGTATATGCTTATGAATGCTTATCTAATATAGCAATGTAGTTGAGCTGTGTGACTTGTATAGAAAACTTAACAGATGTAATTATGATATATGAAGAAGAACATAAAATAATATGTACCATGGTCCAGCTAGGTCCCTGGTTTTGCCAACTTAGTTACGTGCTGTATGTTTCTGAATAGCCTCACTGACTTTGTTGTAGTTTTGTGTGAAACTATGCATGTGCATAAGTGTTTGCAGGATTGGGACCTGATATTATAAGATGCTTAGTTTTTGTGATCTTAACTGTGCTGCCTTAGTGAAATAGTAAATATTTTTAGCATCTAACGTCCTGGGTTTTGTAGGGGGAGATGTTGGTTCTACTGATGTTTTCAAGTAGAACCATGCTTTATTACAACAAATATTTCCCTTTTTGGTATAGTCATGTCATATCTTCTGACTTCCATGAGGTTTTTATTGCTTTACCCTCATGTTGGTGCATCAGAATCAAAGCAGCAAAGATTAAGCAGATTTCAACTCCATTTTATGTCTGTTTACTTGTTTTTGCTCGACAACTGACTGTGCCCTGTAAAAATATTACTATTTTTATTACACATAAAATACAAAATGTCACAGTGTTTTTCCCCCACTCCAGCTTATCTGAAGAAGTGGGGTTTGCCCTCAAAAGTTCATGATACTGTATCTACTTTTTGTTAGTCTCTGATGTGTCACAGGACTACTACTTTATATTTTTGGCACAAAACCAACATCTATCCATATATTTAGGTGTCCTTGATGGTTAATAAAATAATTATATTAAGGCCAGTTATTACTGTTTCTTTAGTCCACATAATCCTGTAATGGCCAGGAAAAATAAAATTAGTCTCCCTCCTGCAGATATCCCCATTCCCAACAGAATGGATGGGGTTTGTAGCAAACAATCAGTGGTGTCTTAAACAGTTTCTATGCCAACTAGAATTTCAAAACCAACACCTTCTGTTCCGTACAGAAACTAAACAGCAGGGAATGTAGATCAGGGTGGATACAAATCAATGTTTTTTAAATTTAAAAAAAAAAATCAGATTTTTTTTATTTCAATAGTTTTATTCTTTTAAAGTTCTCAGAATACTACATTAACAATTATAACTTATTTTTAAATGAGTAATCTCATCACAAACGTGCTACACCTACACTTACAGTCTCATAAAAATGAATTAATGGCTCTACTCTGTATAGCCTAGTAATCAACTCTTGTTTCTTGAAAGTTCTGGACTTTCAATTTTCTGTTTTCAAATAAACTAAAGTAATATGTGCAAAGAAGGACACAGGGAGGATATGATTGTTTTTTGTTCTGTGTTTATGTGGTGGTGGACGTGGGCCAAACGTGGCAGAGGAGTTAGCTAAGATGTTGTCTTAAAGACAGAGACAATGTATAGACAAATACAGAGGCAGCATAAAAAGGAACAGTGGAGTGGACTGGAAAGAAAAAAGGACATTATTAGCACACATACACAACTTCCTATATTCTCCCACACTTTTGATACAGAAAAACTGTATAATGGCTTCTGGGAGTAAAACAGATGTTACCTGGGAATATTTTGAAAAAAATCTTTCCCTGGGTAAAAAAGGAAGATTGCTCACTGGGAGAAGATGATGTGGATATGTCTGAAGAACAATAAGAACAATTTGGATCAACTGGTTAGTAACTTAAATAATTCACTGCAACACATCAGTCTTCAAGACTCTCACTATGCCTTTTAGTGTCGGTGTGAATTAAGTAAATTCTCCATCAGTCTTCAAGACTCTCACTATGCCTTTTAGTGTTGGTGTGAATTATTAAGTAAATTCTTAAGATATTTGCTATGTTGGATATTCCTAGGAATTTTTTTTTAGCATAACTAATCCGATTATTAAGTAAATTCTTAAGATATTTGCTATGTTGGATATTCCTAGGAAATTTTTTTTAGCATAACTAATCCTTATGGCTTGTTTAATTAGTTATCTATGTTTAGAATCAATCACTGAAGTATGCAGTACAGAAAGCTGTAGTAAGAGAAATGTAGTGTTGCCAGTTGCCACAGAGTGTCATTTTCTTATATAATACATGCCCCTTATTTTGTAACACCATGGTCACAGACCATAATACTGATGCCATAAGTCTATTATACTTCAGCATAAGTTAGGAGGGGGTTCTCTTGGGAAAGCTGTACTTTGTTTTCTCAAAAAAACAGAAATGCCAGTGAGTTTAGTGGAGCTTATTTCAAAATTGAGTGCATTCTAAGCGCAGTCAGTCTTGCCATTTTGGTAACTTGGAATTGGGTCTGCATCCTTGCTAAAAATGCACATGATCAATAAAATAATAATGAATAATAGAGAGAGAAGAACTGAGAAGATTGACTATTCAAAATAATTTTTAATATTGTTTCAGGATTCCATTTAACCATAAAAGACTTAGACTGTCTATTTGGAGCAACTTCAGAGCCCTCTATGGGTACATTTCAGTAGCAGTGCTGCTGTTTAAACCTATTTCAAACAACCAAGTATCAGTAGGAGTCAAAAGATATCTGTCATCCAGTAAAACCACCCTCATGAATGTGTTTGTAGAAAGGACAAGCAAATACCAAGACACTTCTGATGAAAGGTTGTTTGGTTCATTTATGCCATAAAGTCTCCTTTTTGCATTGTTAACAGTAAGCACCTTCACTGATGTGGGTGAGTAGGCACTATTGTGCTTATAATACAGGATGGGATTCTGTTGGGGAAAACTGAGTTATGTTGGTATAAAGTAGGAAATAGACTTATGGCATCACTATTATGGTCTTTGACCATGATGTTCCAAAATGGCTATATACCACGGGGTAGAGCAGACATTGGTGGGAGATTCCTAGGCTCAGTATATGAGAAGGAGTTTGAACAGCATGAAAATACTGAGGGGAAATTTGTCTATTTAGGCCTTAATAGGTAGAGCAATGTACACAATGATCCATTAATGTGTCCCTAAAGAAGATGGGTTGCATGTGTCAGAAACAATAGATATATTGAGAAATGTTCACACAACAGAATATTCAAAGAAAGTGACAATGAAAGCTATAGTAAACTGTGAACAAAAAATCAACTGTCATATGCGCAGTTTTGTCACTTTTACCATGTCTGCAGCATTGTCTGATGAGAAAATACTTTGAAGAAGAAACGCAAGGATGCTCCTTAACAACATTAGACTCCAGTGCCCATCTTCTAGCCAAAAACTTGAGTGCGTCTTTTCCAGGAATAACAGAAAATGTTATTTTCCATAACAACCATTTTTCTTCAGCTTCACTGAAGAGAGCAGGAGGGTCCAAACAAAGTCTCCCTCAAAGTGTTCAAAACAAATCACAGAATTCCACTGAACAATTTATTAAGAATTGGCTTACTCTCATAAAACTTTGAAGAAAACAGTGATTGAATAGATGGTAGAATTTCATCCAAAATATGTAACGTTGGATTAACAAGGAATGTAGAAGATGTGCTCAGGATACTGAAGTTTATTATCCATATCCTTAAACTTCAGAGACACTGCTACTGCATTGCTGATGCTGTCAAAATTTGGAAAGCGCTTCAAGAGACTTTGTTCTTAGAAGGTGGTTGACGCATGACGCTGGTGTTAATAGTGTATATGCAGGTTCCATATGCTATGCATTCATAAATCTTTTTTATAAATTGAATAGACCAGTTCACTTCAGTTACTGCATTCCCACTTATGTAATGCATTCCAGAAGTTCATGAACAACATGCTCCTTCAGCTAACAGGGATGCAGCAGAGGCTGTGAGGGAAGAGCATTTCAGCATATGATTAACACTTCATGAGGTGGTAATATGAGTTAATTTAACACAGTCCCCCTCTAATCCCTAGACTGCAGTTAAGTGTTTGACTGTATTACTGCATTTGAGGGGCTAGACCTACAGTCTTGTAGTTCTTGCAGTAGAGGCTCATACTTTCAGATCCAGAAGTTGTAAAGTTAATGGGTGACCTGAGGGCATTATTAGGTGCTCCTTGAATACAGGCCATGTCTATACTGGCGAATGTCAAGTGGTAGCAGTTACAGTGCCACTCATGGAGTGCACCAGTGAAAAACATAGTGGGTGTCCACACTGTCAGCTACTAGAACATTGGTGTGCCACTTAATTACATTTATTAACAGAAAATAGCTCTCAGACATCTTTTACAATAGTGGTAAGAATTTGTCAACTTGTGTTTCAGGAGGTATAGCAGTGATTTACTTGAAATGCTGGCTTCTGTGGACGGAAAGAGCATTCCTCCATAAAATTTCTTAAATGAAAAAGTGAATACTGTTGGATATATATGCAAAATTTTGAAAAAGGCACATCTTTTAACCCAATGGGGATTTTAGAATTTAACCATGCTAAAACTACTGTAACAAAGTGAAACCATAAATTCTGTGCAGAGCACAATTCTGAGTCAGAGCACAATATAAAGCTTCACAGCAAACTTGCCAAAGTTGTACAGATTTTAATATGCTGAAAAACAAATTCTGAAGAAAAGTAGCTGATAAATGACATTGTAAATGAAAATTTGCCAAAACATTTATACATAACACATTTGTTTAAATGCAGGTTTTACCTCCCTTAGCTGGCACTCTCTAGTTTGGCAACAGCCGTGGTCCGGCATGGACCATGGATGTTCCTGGACCACAGAGCCTAGGAAGGGGAAGGTCTGGTAGTGGGACAGGAGATTTGTAGGCTCTTGTGACTCAGTCAGGAGCCCAGAGCGTGCGTGTGCGTGTGGACGAATGGCATGTCGGGGAGTTCTGGCCCCAGAAGAGCTCCCTGGCCCAGTGGCCGGGAAGCTCTAGACTGGTCGCAGCCGGGGTCCTCTTGCCCGCCCAGGGAGTCTCGACACCAGTGGCAGCCAGGAAGCTCTGTTCTTTTGGACCAGCTGGATCTTGAGGTCTCTTCCACAATTTCCATGTTGAAGACCTGATATTGATTTGAAATTTTTAGCTGTGTGGAATTATTCCCCGCTGTCCTTGGTTTGGTGGTGTAGGGGTTCGGTCCGCCCCCACAGCGTCGCTCGTCGCCAACTTTGGGGGAATTGGCTCTGCTGGCGGCGATACTATCCGGTTCAGGCCACTGCCCTCCGACAGTGCCCACACAGCCTGGGCTTTCCCCCTTCCGGGGAATGGGAAATAAGGAATAATTCGTCCTTCCTCAGTTATGCCGAGGGGGTGCAGGGTAGGGAGGAGAGAGGGGGGCCCGGGCCCACCCTCACTCCCGGGCCCCAGCCCAGGGCCCTAAAGAACCCGGACCCGCTTCGGTCCGGGTCCGGTTGACAGGGGCGTCCTCCCCATACCTGTCCAAGTGAGGGGCCCTTATATGGCCCTCCCCTGGGCTACTTCCTCTCCGGATGACCTCCCGGACCCCGTTGCTCCATGGCGGTCCGCGAAGTCCTGCTCTCCGCAGCCAAGAGGGGTCTTTTTCCCCCCTGTCCGGGGCGGCCTTTAAAACTCCCGCCACGCCCGGCGCCGGAGGGTGACGTACGGAGAATGACGTACTCCTGACATCACCATTTGACTACACCCCTCCCGCAGCGTCTGTGCCGCCGCCGCCACCGAGGCGGTTAGCTGGTCCGCGGCGCGAGTACAGCTGGCACAATGCCGGTGCGTGCCCCTCCGCCACCCGAATAGGGCTTTTGCTGCGGGGGTTTTAGTGTGGGGTTGCGGGGCCCCGTCACAGGTGGCCACAGTCCACTCAGTATTATCTACACAACTGGAAATAGAATACCACTATGACTTCTTGCCACTGGTAGTTATGAACAGCATGCTCTCTCTCTTTCTGATTCTGTGGTGGCCAGCTCTATCCTCACTTGCACCTCAAAAACTGACATCCAGGAATATTCTCTTCCAGCACAGCCACCAACTTTCACAAATACACTAAGTCCCTTCTGGAGTTGGACAGCAAAAAAACCCTGATACATCAATGGCAAGCTACCATCAAAGCTTCATTTCTGGCCATCCTGAAAGAGCATATAGAACTGAACCTGGAAGGAAAGCATTTCCAAACTTCCGTCTGGCTTTTGCATAGCAAATGACCTTTTATGCAAACTGTACTTGCTTAGCTCAGCTCTTCCCCCTTACCACCAGAGAGTGATTGATCACTCAGATTTCACATAGTGGAGCTGATCAAAGCCTCATGCCCTTCACCAGTTCGCATCTCAATGTCCTGTTGCCTTATCCAGTATAATGGGTGTTGTCTTTCACCAACAGCCTTATAGAGAAGGAAACTATCTTGTAGAACCATATGGAAAATGAACACTCTTCATTTTTAGCCACACATCATGGCTGCAGTTTAGTTTGTGCTCTTAGAGACACTCTTATTTAGAAAGGTTTGTTTTTTGAAAAGGGTATCTAAATAGTTATTTTTCAAGTCTGATGCCCTGTTTTGAAGGGGGAGTGTGGTCGAGTGTAGACACAGTATGACATTCCACTTGATGACCATTTTGTGGAGAAGTTCCACAGCTTAATTACAATCCTTACTTTAAGCTAGTTGGAAGCAGAAGGTAGGTTGAAGATCCAAACAATTCACTCAGCCTCCAGCATCATTAGACAGTTGCCTCCAGACCATTTTCTCAGAACAACGGGAAAACAAAACAAAAAAACAACCTACTTGTTCTTGTAAATTGGTAATTTTTAGTTTGTGGTTTTCTTTAAAAAAAAAAAAAAAAAAAGTCACTCTGTGCTGTGGAAAAAATCTAAGTTTTTTTGTGTTGTGGTATTTCCTGGTGGGTCAATTAAATGGTTTCATTGGAAGTGGAAATTTTTAAATTAAAACTTTTCTATTAAAGGTAATGTCTTTTCTTTCTTAGGTCCGATGGATGATGTATTGGATTGTGTTTGCTCTGTATACAGTTACTGAAACAGTAGCGGACCTAACGATCTCTTGGTAAGATTTTTCATAGTGTGGAACATGAAAAGTAATTATTTTTTCTGATGAATTAGTGCAGAGAAGGTAATATAATTACCAGCTTGTATTTATAGGTGACATTTCCAAGAACTGCTGTCAGAAAATTGCATAATGGATAACATCCCTCCCTTCAAA